CCCCCCCGCCGACCTCCTCCACTCCTACCACCTCTACCGCCATATCCACCAACCCTTCAATCCCCACCATCGTTCCGTTCCCTCCACCTCCTCCCTCATCCGGCGCATCTAGCACACCGCCTCATTCCTCGCCTATCAAAGTCACCCCTCTTCCCCCCCCGCACTCCCAAACCCTCTCCCAACCCATCATGACCACCTCCACCATCCCCACCATCCGTCCCACCTATTCCCAAGTCACCTCCGGGGCTTTCCCCGCAATGCCACAACTTCCCCCCAACTACCTCCTTGAGCACAGCAACCAAATCGACCACACCTGCTACGACACCACCCCAGATAACCTCAAATTCAATACCCTCACGCAGATCGTTCACCGCGACAGGGAAATCCCCCGTTCCTTCCGATCTGGTGAAATCATGTCCTTCTCCCGCCTCCCCCACGAGGACGTTTTCCTCTTCCTAACCCAGCTTCAGAACTCTTTTCAGCTCCACCACATGCCCCTTGCCCACTGGCTCCCCATTGCCACCTCCCGCCTCCTCGGCAATGCAGCCAAATGGTGGATGGCTGAAGCTAGCAACCGCCGAGCCTCCAGAGGACCACGCTACACCTTCCTCCAATGGGCCATCCTCCTCACTGCCACCTTCCGCCCCCAGAAAACCATTGACGACTACCTTGAACAATTTTGCCACCTCCGCCAGACCGGTCCCACGGACCGCTTCGTCTAATACATCCGCTCCCTCCGACACCACCTCCCCCACACCGTCATTCCCGACTGCGCGTTCATCTCCCGCATCAAACGAGTATGCCACAAAGACCTTGCAACCGCCCTCGCCCACGAACCCGACATGCCCCTTGCTGACCTCCTCTCTCACATGCTTCACCACAATCGACTCCTCCACCCCCATCACCAGTCCGCGCCCGCTCCCTCCCGCCCCCTCTTTTTCCATAACGACACCACTCAACCCACGTCCGATAACGACTTCGACACTGCCTCTCTCGACCACTCCCAATTCACCATCGAGGACCTCCAGACCGCCCACCTTATACGGATGGAACGCCAGGATCGTGCCTCTCGACCGCCTTCTTCTTCTCCACCCCGCCGCCTGCAGAAACTCACACCCGCAGAACGCATATACCTCCAGGAACACAACGGGTGTTTTCGTTGCTGCCAGTTAGGTCATCAACAGACTAACTGCCCCAACGCTAGCCACTTTACTCGACAGGCCCCTCGCTCCACGGGACCCAGCCCTTCTACTCCCACTCCTCCCTCCACCTGAACACTRTCCACCCAGTCTTCCATGTCGAGTACCTAAATGAATACAAAGTCAAATGGACCGGATACCCCGACRAAGAATCTACATGGGAACCTCTCTCTAATCTTAAGAACGCCATGAAACTTGTCCGCGCCTATGATCGTGCTAATCCTACCTCCTAGATACCTATATCACTATGGCATAAACCCCCGCTAAAAACCCGTGCAACCCTGCTCTACACACACCCTTGAACCCAGTCCACCCTTCCCTTGATCCTCATTCCTGATGTCTGATCTGCCCTTGCCCTCGCCTAGCCTTGTCCCATCTGTCCTCTCCACTACCTTGTCTCTCTTGTCCAATGCTTGTGAACTTGCGTGACGCCGACGATAAAGGATCTAATGGCAAGCGCACGAGGACGATGGCCTGCTGCCTCACTGTTCATGGAGATTATGCAGCT